AAAAAAAAATGCTGCTGTGATCATTCTTGATGTGTATTTACAAGAGCTTCTCTAGGATATAATTGTTCATTCGTAGGGTATGCACATTTTCAGCTTTATAAGATAATGCTGTATTACTTTCCAAAGTGGTTATTCCAATTCATACTCCACCAACCGTGTATATGGACAAATCAGTTAACTATTCTGGATACTGAATACTTCATTGTTTAAATGAAGTATAATAATGCTTGTTTCATATGTATAGTGAGGAACAACTTTATACCATTTAGGCAAAAGGCTTTAAAACTGTTTATTTGATAGTGATAGCAGTGGTCATATCCAAAAGTCACACGTACATCAAAACAGGACCTCTATTGTATAGAGTCTTGCAACTACATATGGTGTTCTTAGCTCACACTTGACTATGTGTTATATTGTGTTACACCAGATGCACAATATGTATGCCTTTCAAAGTAATTTGTGTTACTGTATTATATAAACTTTCTGTCTTCCCTCAGAATGTATAATAAGATGTGGCATCAGACCCAAGAAGCCCTCAATTATGTGCTTGATAAAGAGTCTCAGAAGATGATAGAACCACAAAGAAATCAAGTTTTCATCTTCCAAATGTTAGCCACCTTCTACATAAAATATGTGCAGATCTTCAAAGACATGGAGAATGTGTATGACCAGATAGTCCATCCACAGAAACGAATCCTGATCCGGAAAATATTGGATGCAGTGATGGGCCGCATCCTGGAACTGAAGAATGAGATGGTTGAATTGGAATTAACCGAGTTTCATTACTTTGATGATATCTTACAGGATCTAAAGTTGGTTCCCGTAAGTACTCTGTTGGGGTTTTTTTTCTTATTAGTTTCTTTTTATAATACATAAGATATGTAGGTCTGTACCCAATATTCTACAGACTTTCTAGACATATTTACTAGTTGTTTGGTGTATTAAAAGTCTAAACATTTCCCTTCCATCGCACCATACTGCTGTGGATTAGGATCAAATTCCCTTCGTTTTTGGCACAGGTAAATCTTTTTGCACAGCCCTGTGTCTGTTAGCACTGAGGTGGTGGTGGTCTTGCCTGACACTGTGGTGTCTGTCCAGGACTATGGGAGTGGGGTAGGCTGACCCTTTCATAAATATCCTACAGCACAAACCCTCCCAGTTTCCAACAGCAGTGGCCCCCTACTCTCTGTTCCCATGGGAAATCTCTCTCTGGCCTTTATTTTCCAGTTGTCATCTTCTGGATGGCTTTAAAACTATTTATTTGGTAGATTATTTATTTGGCAGATTAATTTTATAAATAATTTCTGTAATGGGGTAATTTAGGTAAAAATAAAACCAAATTATTGGAAAGAATTGTGACCATTTACATACAAATAGGTGATGATGCTGATGATAAATTATTAGATTTAATTCAAAGGTCTCAACAGCTTAATACTTTACTGTCCCAATCCGGGTCATTATTTTAGATAGTCTGAGATAATATTATATTTCTTTAAAGAAATTCATGAAGTAATCATTCATTAATTGAGGCCTAATTGATATGAATTGCTGAGGTTTTGCAGTAGTGAGTAACATGTGAAACGTGGTGGTGAGTTTCCTTTTGACTTTGTCTCCTTCTCCGTGATGAGTTCTCTCCTCTCCGCTGCCCTTCACCTCTTCAGTGAGAGCGGAATGGAGAGTGACTCTGATGCACATGCCCTTACCTGTATTTTAAGTGGATTTGGGTCCTGGGGTCATAACAAACGTGCTCTTTTGCTTGTTCTTTCTCTTCTCCAGCAACAGTTAGATATTCCCATACCCAAGTACTTTTTGAAAGAGAAGTTGGAAGTAATAAAAGGAAGAGAGAAAATCCTTGCTCAAATTTTAGCCGAAAGTGGATTAGATACAGCTAAAGTGGTTTGTATATCATTTTCACAAACGTTATTCCATAATCTGTATAACTTCCTTTTTCTGTTGCATCTAATTGTGTGAGAAACAGATTATTCTCAATTTGAGGAAAGACTCATCCCTCGCTTCTTGTTACACAGGATATAAGAAGCTGCATAACTTTTGAATGTGTCTGTGGTGATGCACAGTCATTATTTTTCAAGAGCTTAGAAATAGACATCAAAACATAATGCTTTATTGGTTAAATCAGTATCTCTAAGACAGAGTTAATTATCAACCCAGTTTAATTTTTCATCTCAAATTCACCTAGCTAAAGTCAGAAGCTAAATGTTTTTCATACAAAATAATTAAGTGCCAGCATAACTCACTAGGAACTTGAAAATTACTACACTTTCTAAAAATGCTAATTGACCTTTAAGTTGAGTGACACTTGGATCACCCCAAATGGACCATCTGTGGAGAAAGGGGAGAAAAATCCTTGAAAACCATCACTGGAGAGCAAGGAGCAGCATCCAGCCAGTTCTCCAGACCCATACCTCCTCCGTCTGCAATACTGGTGCAGTGCCACCTTCTTCCCGTTGTCACAGCTGTCCTAGTCTCACAGCAGTCTCCCATGTGGCCTCCTGGTGAGCAGTCTTCTTCCAGTCCTTCCCATGTAGCACTACCCTGCCAACCTTACGACCATCTACTTATGCATTTTGGTGATTTTCACTGCCTGTGAAATTAGTGCCTCACTCCTCTGGCTGATCTTCATGGCCCAAGCATTAAAACGACCATTGACCATCCAAACTGGGACACTCCATAGTGAAAGGGGCCATTATGAGTAGCTGAGACTGCCAGTGTAGACAAGCATGCACAGCGAGAACCCACACTTGCAGTCTTTCTGCAGATAGGCCCATCGGGTATTGCCAGCCTGGGTCATGATGTTAAGGAAGATTCTGAGTGCATTCCCAGGATGGCGGGGAAAAATGCCCTGTCCGCCTGCTTCAGGAGGCAGGTGAAGTACATGCCCTGCATTAGCCAGCCTGGTGTCATCTCCCATTTCATATAGGCGTGCTCCATGCTCGAGAGAGAGCTTGCTCTTCTCCCTTACATTTCTGCCTGTCAAAATGATACCCGTTCTGCAGAGCCCAATTTGATACAGCATCCTTCAAGAAACCTTTCCTGATCCACCTAACCCAAGACATCTCTCTTTCCTGCACCCGTCTGCCAAACGTCCACCCCCTCTTCTACATTATGAATTACTTGAAGTCGACCCCCCTTGCTTGGGGGCCCTCTGGCCATCCTTCCACCACGAGGCTCCTGTGTCTGTGCTTTCTGCCCAGGCATCAGTCAGAACAAAGCACTCAGACTTCATCTACTTCCCCCAAAGGAATCCTTTCACACCCAGCAGTGATGAGCAGTGCAGAATTCTCTCAAGATTTTACAGGGGAAATGGAGAAGGGAGATTACATCACACATACTACAGTAAAACCCTAGAAATCCCTGTTTGCTGTTTCTCCTGCCTGCTGTCCCTTTGCATTGGTGCTAGGTCAGCAGCAGGGACATTTCTCTATTCCTTCCCTAACTCAGCATCCAGCCTGGAGCAGCAGGTCATCTCCACCCCAGTCTCATTTCAGATGTGCCCAGTGCTCAGCAAAACATGAGGGCTTCCAGCTGACATCCCCTGGGCACCTGCTGTGACTTTGTCTCGTCCTTTTGGTGTCTCACTGGACCCCCATTCTCTTCTTAGCTGCTCATTGCTTGAAGATATATGCAATATGTACCCCAAGAAGAATTTTGATAAGTGAAAATTATTATCCATCTCCTACATTTGTAATGTTTAATATCCACTATCGGGACCTCTTTAGATGCTCAAAAATCTTTGTCATGTTGAGTAAACTAGTCAAAATCCCTTTGCCAGAGTTATTTAGTAATGTCTGTGATTATTTTCAGAATGACAATTTGGAATCTAAAGGCAATAAGTACAATACCAACTGATGTTTCCTGGGTACCTACTATATGCTTAAGTTTTTTTTATATATCATCTGATTTAATACCAGAATAATTTTTTTTACTCTGACATGCCAAGCACATTACCGAAAGTGTGTGCTCACTGCAAATTTGAAGCACTGAAATCTCACTGAAAACAAAACTCTGAAGAATTGTTGTGTAAAAGAGCATCCTTGTAAGCAGCCATATTCTTCATGCAATATTGACGTGCCATATTGAAGCGGTAGTGGGTAGTTTAGTAGAAAAAAGATCAATATCTGTTCAAATTGGCTCTACCTCTTGTTAACCATGCAAACTTACTTTAAAGTTAACCGTGGAAAGTTACTTTACTTCCTTGAGCTTCAGTCTTCTCAATTCTTAAGTACTCATGTTAACACCCACCTTGGAGGCTGCTTCTGTGAAGTTACTGAACGTATGTATATAGGGAAAAGCATCTGGCATCTACAGGTTCTCAGTAGATGTCCCTTACCTCTCCTGCTCACTCCTTCCTTTTCCCCCCACCCCAGCCTTCTTACAAAGAGAAGCGACCATCCTGGGAAGCAGCAGCCCAGGTGATGAGTTGGAGCATTGCACACTCGAGACCTCGGTGCCTGGCACCGTATCCTGATACAGTGGCCATCGCTACCTGCTGAGGCCTGGAATTGGACTCAGCTTTGCTTTGGTGCTTTTCTGACTTCAAATGACCTTTCCTTTCTGCCTCCATCCAAGAATGGACAGCCCCTCGAGCCAGGCCACATGCATAGCTTCTCCCTTGCTCTAGGGACAACAGTGGAGCCTCACCCTGAGCCCACTCAGAGCTCACCCAGGCCTCAGGATGCATCCAGAACCCTGGCCCCTGTCTTTCTTTCTTCAAAAAATGGCACAGCCCTGGCCTGGCTTTGTCACCACATACCCCATATGATATCTCCGAAGACAACATTTTACTACATGAGCTCTGATTTTTCTGTCTTAATAGTACTCATCACATGTGGATGTTTTAACATGCAAACTTACAGATACTCAAAAAAATTTCATGCATAAAATTGTCCTTAAAATGATTTTAACATTAGTCATATTCACTGGGTCAGTCTGTAATTGATTTTTAAACTCAGTGTTTTACTTCATCTGTATTTTAAAATTTTAATTCCTGTATTAGAGATGCATTTTTAATTTCTGTATTTCTACTATTAAGTTAATGCAATATTGATAGCAATCTCAACTTTTACTGAATCAATTTTATTGACATTTCTAGTATAGTTTGTTGCCAATCTAAAATGGAGTGGGGTTAATTAGTATTTTGTTTGGAAGGGTAAGGGAAAGCCATGGAACCTTTAAATTTGGGGTCACAACATGAACATGGCATATTATCAAAATACGCCTAATTCACTGGAAAAATGAATTCGGAGTACCATACTCTATCAACAGTGTGTGATGTTTGGGGGATCAATTGATATAGTTAACACATTTAAACATTGATTTTTCTTAACTGTTTTTTTGTAGAAGTACTCTATAAAGGGTATTCCTTTTGAAGAGGCCATTAAATTAATCCAGGTTGCTGAGAGGGCACGGTATTGACATTTCTAGTATAGTTTGTTGCCAATCTAAAATGGAGTGGGGTTAATTAGTATTTTATTTGGAAGGGTAAGGGAAAGCCATGGAACCTTTAAATTTGGGGTCACAACATGAACATGGCATATTATCAAAATATGCCTAATTCATTGGAAAAATGAATTCGGAGTACCATACTCTATCAACAGTGTGTGATGTTTTGGGGATCAATTGATATAGTTAACACATTTAAACATTGATTTTTCTTAACTGTTTTTTTGTAGAAATACTCTATAAAGGGTATTCCTTTTGAAGAGGCCATTAAATTAATCCAGATTGCTGAGAGGGCACGCAATCCAGGTTGCTGAGAGGGCACGGCAAGGTCGCCTGAGAGCCTTGTTCATGAAGCAAATCTATCTTCGAGAATACAGAGCAAAGCAAGCCAAGATATTTGGCGAAAAATTCGCAGATGCTGGGGCTGCTGCACTATGTATTCAGAAGGTACAAATGTGGGACTCTTGGAGTTGGGGTACAAGGTGTCTTACCCAGCTAGACATGCATACCAGCTTCGAGGGTGAGCTCCGAAACTCAAAATACCAAATTCCTACTTTTAGTAGAACTGGATTAAATTCCAGAAAGATTCATTAACTTCCTATAGAGAAATCATTAACTAAGCTTGGTCATATTTCAAAAATTTTATTCTAAAATCTAATTTTATTATTAAATGGAGGGCATTTTATTTAATACTTTTAAAGATCATTAATAATTGTTGGAAAGAATGTTGCTAAAATTCAGTGAGGATATCAATCCTTAGTGAATTTTTAAAAAATACATTCGCATACAGACATACAAATTATAGAAGACAGGAGCAAGGGTTAATACCTTGTAGCTTACAGAAACACATACCATTTGAAAAAATTCTAGCCACCATCACTAATAACCAGAACATTGATGTTCCTTCCAGAAGTGGCCCTTGAGGTTTCCTTCTCTTTGGCAAATGAGTGCTATTAATTTTTACCCCATCTTTTTTCAAAGGGAGGCTAGTGTTACTTACAGGAAAATGCAGAAGATGGCAATGTGACACAAATTAGGATTAGGTTTGAGAGAAAGTAAGTATGAGGACATGAAATTTAACCAGAAAATCTGAACTCTTTGTTGCTAATTTATCCTTGAATGGGAGAGGGGGAGGGGGATGGGGAGGGCCAGATAAGAGACTGTTTTCTTTCAAGTTTCTGTATAGATCTAAAACTTTAGCATCTGATTTAAAAGCTTGAGTTATACAATTCTTGGAAGTTTCTATGTTCTATTTCCTCACATTATTTTGGAAATTTTTAAAACCATGAAGTGCCACCCGTAGACCTAGCTTCATGCTCCTACTACCTAGAAGTTTCTCTTTAAGAAACCCAGGTAGGAGAATCTCACTAATGAGAATTACAGGTCATTTTTGTGATTCATTTTTTCTTTTAAAATCTTTGCCTGTGTTCACAGGAGAAAAAAATAGTCCATTAACATACACGTGCACAACCTGGAGTTTACGATCATTATGACACTTGGGGTGTTCAGTTTATAGAGGAGAGTCTGCATGACAATGTTTTCCTTATTTTTTTATGTTTTTAACAAGTAACCACTTTTTTGTTTTTAGGTTTGGAGACGTTTCTATCAATGTAGGAAAACTGGAAGACAGAGAGAAGAGGAGATGATATTCCTGGGTATGGTAAGTTTTTTTATAAGCAAGATCTGGTTTTCTTAAAGAGAACAGAGTTTGTAAGACATGTCTTCTTTAGAGAGTTTTTGAGGGAAGAAAGGAAAACNAGAGAACAGAGTTTGTAAGACATGTCTTCTTTAGAGAGTTTTTGAGGGAAGAAAGGAAAACAAAGTAAATGATTTAAGAGAATGGGGTCACCCACGTTGTACAGAAGCCTCCACAAGGGTATCAGGATTGTATCTGTTTACCTGTCTCTGCAAGGTGCAGACTGCTCCAAATGTGGAAACAGACTGTATGTTGTCACAATATGCTGTTCCTGTCTGATGTCAGCAGTGCACACTATTAAGTATTTATGGTCTTGAGAATGGTTTTGCATTGATACTGCTGGCTTTTTTCTTTTTTCTTTTTTTTTTTTTTTGGTGTAATGATTACTGAATCATAGAGTTGGGAGGGTGCATTAGTTATCCATTGTCATAGAACAATGTTAACCACAAACTTAGCCACTTAAAACAACACTCATTTGTTATCTCACAGTTTCTATGGTTCAGGAATCTGGGCATAGCTTAGCTGGATCCTCTGTTCAGGTGTCAGGGTGTCCCAAGGCTGCAGTCAAGGAGTTGGTCAGGGCTGTGGTCTCATCTAAGGCTCATCTGGGGAGGGATTTGCTTCCAAGCTTGTGTTGGTATAACTCAGTTCCTTGTGACTGTCAGGCCGTGGGCCTTGGTTTCTGTGCCGGCTGTTAGCCAGAGGCAGCCCCTAGCTCCTTGCCACATGGGTCTCTCCATATGGCAACTTGCTTCATCAAAGCTAGCCAGGGAGAGAGGGGCCACTTACAATTGTATGCAATTGATCTTGGAAGTGATGCCCCCTCACCTTTGGCCTATTACATCAGTGAGAAGCAAGTTATGAGGTCCATCCACACTCAAGGGGAGGGGATTACAGAAGGGTGTGAGGACCAGAAAGCGGGAGTGATGGGGAACCATCACAGAGTGTCTGCCACAGAGTTCCTGTGGCAGCTACATCATCAAGGGTAAGGCCCTTGAGGAGGGTTGGCTTGTCCTCCTCCTGAGCCCCTCCAGAGCACAGAACCTCCCTACAGAGCCTGCTTGACTGACTAGGGTCAGTAACTCTGAATGTATTTTATTTCCTTTTCACCTGACAACCCTTCCTTCAAGTCTTTGGAGGAAGTTCTTGAGAACCCTCCAGAGCTAACTCTTACAAAGCTAATTATTGTCACAGATGACAACCATTCCTGGTGGAATGGTTACTTAAGGTGTGTTGTAGCGAGCTACGTTGCTTAGTGCCCCCTATTTAATGCCAAGATAAAAATACTGAAACAGTAGTGTTGATAAATACAATTAATGACTGAGTCTTTGAATATACTAATGACATACAAAGTTCTGGTGAGGCTAATGAAGAAAAGGAAATACAAATATGCAGTATATAACCACAGACACTAGCAAGTTAAAAAACTGTTAGGCAATGTCATGAACAGCCATGGTCATAAGTTAGAAAATATAGCACAGAGAAGATTGTCTAAGGAAGTGAAGACACAACAGTCACAAGAATTCCTTGAACTTGTTAAGACAAGTGACCAGATGTGATGTACTTGGGGGAGGGGGGGAAGAGAAACAGGTAAAGGGACATGAAAATCAACTACAATGTATATTGCGAAGTTAAAATGAAATAAAATAAACTGACTAAAGAGTAAGAAACCTAAATATCCCAATCACTGTACCAAATACTGAAAAGATTTTCAAAGTCCCTGTGTTAGTTTGGCAGATGCCACGATGGAATTAGGTGTGCAAGAGATTGATTAGAAGAATGTGTCTGTAAAGACTAAACAGAGGAGCCAAAGAAGCAGGGAGAAGCTTCCGATCATGGCGCAGATCTGAGAACTGTAGAGGACAAGGCAAGGAAGGTGGGGAGGATGGAAGCATCTCAGACTGCAGCACAGTTCCAATAAAGAAATTACAATTGCTCTTAAAAATCTATCCTAACAAAGAAAAAGGAGACAGTAGTGATGATAACCAATTTGGGGAAGGACCGAGGGGCAAGTGCAATCTCAGGGACTGCTAATGAGGGTTTAATTGTTCTCCAATCATTAGAAACATTATAAACACAGCTTTTTTTGTCTGGTAATGCCAACCTTGGAATTTCTTTGCTAAGGAAAAAAATAAGAATATGAGCAAAGTTTACAATATATAGATATTCATATCAGTGTAGTTTTATAATCATAAGAGATTGGTGCCCAGAAACAGTTAGTAGAGTTAAAATGTCTCGTTGTGGGCCGGCCCGGTGGCGCACTGCTACA